AGACGATCACAGCATCGTGTAACTGAATTCAAAATGTCAGTAGAGTTCATTTTACATTTACCAATAGCTCATGTATATCAATTCGAGCAACATGCATCTTCTTGCTGCGACACATGCCTTGTTTCATTCACCGCATACACTTGGCGTTTCGTGCTTGATCTTGAGGACACCTTTGAGCAGCATAATTACTTTTCCCGCATTCTCGGTTTCTCAATATGTGTCGTCTTGTCTAGCTGTATGTGTTGGAGTGGCGAGTGGTGGTGTTTTTCTACTTTGCCCAGCAGATACGTTCTCACCCGAACGCATATTTTATTTTCAGAAGACCAGTGGCACGTTTATGAGATTTCCCAATTTTCTGAGGGCACATACCTAAGCTAAGGGTCTTGCATGCACTCACAGACACCATCTAGCCAAATGGAGCTTCGATGCATTTTTCACGTTCACAATCATAGAGAATACTTATCCATTAACAAAATTTCAAGATGATTTCAATGCACTGGTTCCAATACACAGTCGCCCCATGCTACTTTTATGTAGCAAAGACTCTTTAAAAGAAAATTTATGTGAAAGGAGATGGCACTGACAGGCTACGCTGCACACGGAACACGAGAATTAACAACGACAAGTTGGTACCCACACTCGTGGAAATCGAATTAGAAGTAACAAACATTCATCTACTTTATTTTAAAAATATACCATCGACTTAACCATACAAGAGAACGACATACCACAAATGAATTGGGTTTTGCAAATAGTAAAATTTCATTTAAAATTTATTGGGAATAGAATAGTGCTGAATAGTGGCCAAAAATATTGAATATTGAATTGAATATTTAATACAAAACATGCTATTGAAAATTCAAAAAGAAACAACAAAGAAATGAAGCCCGCACATATTCCCGAGCACATAACGTGGTGTGTGACTTCTATGGAAGGCCTACGAATGTTGTACTTAATCGCCACGAATGCTCGGTGTCCGAAAATTTTCAGGCGTCCGTTCACAGCAGCGTGTTAGGTGCGTGCCGAAGTAATGGGAGTTTCTGAATGAGTGGTGCGGTACGGCAGTGGCAAATGCCCAGCGTGAACAAATTTCTCATGAAATGCCAGTGACTGATGGTTACGTGAGCCAAAATTTGTATGTTTTATTACACAATCGAAATACGCAAAATGTTTATGACTTAACTTCTGGACCGAAATTGGGACTGGCCTAGCAGTTATTTCATGCGCTTTGTTTTACATGTGGACTTGACATATCCTTTTGGAAATGAACATTCACTTACTTTTGAACCACAATATCTGTGAAGTTTTTTTTTTAATTGCAACGACATGAATGCTAGCTTTAGCCATTCCATCCTACCCAAGTTGCACCACCATATAGCCTTTGGCTTGTTTTAGATATCTGTTGTTGAATTATTTAAAACTTCAAATACTAGGAGTAGAAAGTCAAATCGAGCTAATTTATTAAGTATTATTTAACTCAAATTCAAAACTATAATGTTCGCATACCCCTAAATAAAGGTATATCAGCAAATAAGTGATATATACTTGAATATTTTATATGAAACTTACAGCATGATTACACAAAGTGCCTTTCAACGCAAGACTTCTTTGATATGTGGGTTTTAACGTCCCAAAACCACCATATGATTATGAGAGACGCCATAGTGGAGGGCTCCGGGAATTTCAACCACCTGGGGTTCTTTAACGTGCACCCGAATCTGAGCACACGGGCCTACAACATTTCTGCCTCCATCAAAAATGCAGCCGCCGCAGCCGGGATGTGATCCCGCGACCTGCGGGTCAGCAGCCGAGTACCTTAGCCACTAGACCACCGCGGCGGCCTCAACGCAGGACTAAAGAGAGTATAGATATTTTACTGCACCAATGAGTTAACGGAACTATTCAAACAAGTCAAGGTTTCGGAGAAAAATAGAAGGTGACAGACACTCAAGCATTATGAAATGTGGCAATAATAAGAAAGTTACAGTGATGAAGCTCGCACGCTTTCAAAAAAGGCCCACAATTTCAATTTAGTCAAGGCTACTTTTGTCAAAATAAATCAAGAATGTTTTCGGAAATAAGCAAATAAACACACTAAATCCTAACTCGACATAATTTTCTGCTTTCCCATTTTATGGAAAACGTGACAGCATCCAACGTAGTCGACGCTGGTTTGCCTCTAATATTCTTCCGAGAAGCAAAAACGTGCTCTAATGCACTGAAGAAGACCAGAATCGGCGATTTTTATATTTTGATTATAAAACACTGACAGCTTTCTTGACTCAGTAAGCCTAGCTGAATCTGCTTACAGTTCCACAGAAAGGTATGCGAAGCGTAGGAGCTTCGATTCACGTTCTAGTCTCCGTACTAATTTTGCACGTAATCGTTACAAAAAATTGCTCTTTTTCATATTTACATATCAAAAGAGCATCCTTAGAGAAGTAAAATCGGCAGATCCCCCGTACATTGGAAAGCGATGTTTTGCGAAGCATGCAGTAAAAGGTGACTGTGTTGTTAACATTGTTATTGAGCAAAACGTAATGAACTGGCACTAAAAATATATACAAATGCGCACACAGACATGCGTCAAACAGCCGCAATGTTTTATATAACCAGTGGTGCATGGCGGCGTAACAATGCTAACATGAACATGGATACTAAAAGCAATATTTTTATTATATTATAGCAATGCTAACAGTTACAGAGATATTACACAAATGAACTTAAGCAGATTGTGCCTAACTACAATTGGCGTTAACCAGACGTAACGGCTGCATCATAGGAGTAATTATATAATGTTTATTAAATTATACACCCATCAATACAACTATCATTGACGTTTCACAAACATTAGGGTCTCTGAAAAGTAGTTCCCAGCCATTAGTGAAACTTGTAAACAGCTAGTTGAAAAATGACGCTCTTTCCTTTCGCCTTTTATTCCCCGGTGGTTTCTATCGTATAATTTTCTTGACTTCCCGACCTGATGTGGCACAGTGGTAGAATACTTGAGTGTCACGTATAATGCTATGGTTCGATTCCTGTTGGGACCTTGACATTTATTCTTTGTATACATCGGATCAACGCTGCCGATGTAAGCTTTTTTTAACGGCGTTAAAATTACCCACGTCTGCTCACACCATTCCTGGGTAGATATAAATGGTCAATCACCTGTGGCACATACTCGCAGGCAGGTGTGTGCCACACGTCTTGCGAGAAGGAAGTGAAGTGAGTGAGAATTTATTAGAAGGCAGAGAGGTCGGCCTGAGCTAGTTCGCTCTAGCCTGCTACTCTACACAGGGGATAAGGGAAAGGAAAGAGGGATGAAGGGTGATGATGGGGACAAGAAGAGGTGGTGCGTATGTACAGTAGCCACTTAGCATAGTACCCTACAGTCTAGTTTCTAGTCCAGTGGTTTTTATAAAGTCTAGAACAGCCTTTGTAGCAGTTTTTGACACTGTTTGGTCGTTCATTGCTGACAATATGTGGCTTTCACTTAATGGTGTTCGTCCAAGAAGGGTTTTCTGAAGTACACCACGAAATTTCGTCATTATTCATGTCATGACCAGCGAGTCATATTCGTCAAACAATCTCAGCCTCCCATACAAACTTTCGTTTATCTCGTTTTAAGAGGATGATCACGAAAGCACCCAGACCTAGATAGATAGATAGATAGATAGATAGATAGATAGATAGATAGATAGATAGATAGATAGATAGATAGATAGATAGATAGATAGATAGATAGATAGATAGATAGATAGATAGATAGATAGATAGATAGATAGATAGATAGATAGATAGATAGTGAATGTGCCTGCAGTACACAAAGATATTCTGCACATCTAATAAATATTGAACACTCAAGTCATGGCACGAAGAATGCTCTTTTGTAAAAGCGTAAGATTCAAAAAGTTTCAAAATGTATATGCTACGTACGAGCTTCGCTGCCTTCGCCATCATCTGAGTGGTCCTCAAGAAGCGGCTTCATCAAAGGCACTCCACCGTTCAGATTGTAGTAAGAACGATTTTGCACGCCTCCAAGTTCCAGGTAGGACTAAAAGTAAAAAACGAGCATCTGTATTTATGACACTGCACGGTACTACTCCTGTGCTTTTGCCATGAACAATTTGTGCCCATTGCCTGTTACCGGGACACAGCGTCTTTTTTCATATTCCCTATACATGAAACCAAGACGTGTTATTGCGTCAAATCTGATGAAGTGAACTCAAGACACAGTAACACTGCAGGTCTAGCAAGCATCTGTCTACAGAAATTTTACAGGTATTGCGAAAAACTGATCAATAAAAGTTATAGGTTCTTATAAATTGTATAGACGTTTAGAAATTAGCACCATGTCTTGAACAGAAGACATCACGCTGCCGTAAACTTAATCATTCTGGGATTGTCAAGTTTACCAACTTGATACTTCAACGGCCAGCGTATTGAAGTTATTTTATATGCAAATTGCCCTATGCTTGTTTTCCCGTTTGTGTCGAAACAAGTTTCACCTATTTCTTGATCATTACCCACGTATTCAAATGATAGCTCTGGAGCATTCTAGTAAATATCTGCTATGTTGTCACTACCATTGCATTCTGCACTGTGGAACGTTGCGATGAATTTGCTGTTGACAATAATATTTTACTTGCGGTGGTTGGCCTGGTGGATAACACGCCAAAGGGCCTCGATAGAACAAAAATGGTTCATACGTGATGCTTTGGTTGAAGATTACACTTTTTAGATTACCACAACTGCCGTAAGCAAAAAAAAACGTGTGTGGTTCTAGGTGCTTCGCATGCCAGAATAAATAAATATGTTAAAACATAAATAATATATTTATTAGGTTGTTCTCCTTTTAAGCCAACTATATCGTCACTTCAATATCACATTTGTTTAATAGCATTAAGACACTGGTGAACACTGCGCAGCTGCTTCGTAAATCTTAGCGATTCAAAGAGTCCTGAAACACTGAATGCCTGCCAAAGAAGAAAAATAAACTATTATTTACAACTTACCGCAGCGTCCTGCAGTATATCTTCCAATCGTTGCTTTAGCTCTTTAAAACAAGGACGATCCTGTGGTCTGGGCTGCCAACAGCTCAGCATCATACGATATCTGAATAAAATAATAAAAGTAGCACGTGCACTGATAAAAAAAGAGGCAACAAAGTAAGCAAATATATTGTCACGTTACACTGTAACCGCAACCTGTAGATAAGAACACACAAGAACGTCAGACTTATTCGATCAACGGCAATAAGACTTTATCATCTTCTCTGCAAGGGCATCTTCGTCCTCTTTTGAACAGCGGCCCATACAAGCCTGCCAGCATCTATGGAAACAATATTTGCGGAACTTGTACTAGTGGCAATATCATTTCCCCAAATGGATTTAAAAAAAGCCATTGCACAGGCTGTGTGAGTGCTCAATTGAGAACATCGTTGTTCTACTTCCTGAGGCCTAATGCATGGCCGTTCAGTAGTAACTGGCGCAGGAGTAACTGTGTAAGTTGTTGCAGTCAGTTTTAATTTATTGAAGCAAGAATAATGAAGACACGCTATCTGTGAAAATGTAGGAGTATGCACAGCGCAGCTGTTGAAAAAGTACCGCCCCCCTCCCTCACTACAAGTGGCCGTATGCAAACACAGTCCGAAAATCATGCTGAACAGCTGACACAGCAACTGCTGGTGTAAAACATTTATTTTCACTCTGTACCACGTTTCTATGTGTTGCAAGAAGTCCTCAATGTCCTTCAAAAAGCACGGGAACGTGCTCAGGGCTCCCACAATGGCACTGAGGGGCGTAGCCTAACAGCCGCATATCGGGCTTGCTGGAGGGCCCATTTTGGTCGGCAAGGCTGGAGCTACGCAAGGCAGCCGCTCACCTCGCCGAAGTGGCATCGGGGTTAACATCGTTATACATTGTAGTGCACTCCCAGAGCATGTGTCCAAGCGTAGCCGTGGTGAGTTTGCATTGGTTGCATATAGTATTATCGTAGAGTTCCGGGTATATGGCGTGTAGGACGTGTGAATTTGGGCATGACTCCGTTTGCAATAGCCTTAAAGTGAGGCATGACGATAGTTATAGCGCGAGAACAAAACGACGACACAGAGACAAGAAGGACACGAAAGACACGTCTCTGTGTCGTCGTTTTGTTCTCGCGCTATAACTATCGTCATGTCATACCAACTAGCCCAAGCTGCCACACTTAAAGTGAGAGTTTGAGGCCGGCTTAGCTTAAAGCTAGGTGGCGGGAAGATGCAAAACAATCTTTAATCTTTTGTTGTAGCTCTCAGGTACAACTTTAGGCGTCGTCTCAGCGATGAAAAATAGCGTTCTGCTTCAACTGCGCTCACCGGCAGAGTTGCTCGAATCTTTAGAAAATGGTGCACGTTTGTAAAACATACCTCAGGGCAATTGGCAACTGCTTGCATCACAGAAACGTTCAGCGTTTCTCGCTTCTCTCGCTTCCATTTCGCAGCCCATTCTGCTAACTCTCCTTGCGATGCCGAAGTTGAGATAATATTCGAGTACGCGTCAGAAAACTTTTTGGCAGTGGGAATAGTGACATATTGGGAAATATTCTGTGGCAGAAGCAAATAAAGCATCTTCAAGGTGTGCCAATGCCTTTTAAAGCGCTCATTAAACTGGTTTATTGAATAGTCCAGAAAAGACCAGAAGTACTGGAAGCCTAAAGTGTTCTTCAACGCTAGCCACTGGCACGTTACTTCAATGAGGCTGCCTATATATACCTGTTACAGGTGGCATCCTCATTTTCACCAGTTGGCAAGTGCTCACTGGGAGGAGCGTCACCTTTCAGGAAATAATTTTCAAGCATTATACCGTACAGCGCTTCGGCGTGACAATCGAGTCTCATAGAAGGGTGATAATCAACCCAGGACACGAACTACCTAGAAATGCGTGTAGCCAGCGTATTTCAAGGGGGTGACTTCGCATTGCTAAGGAGTAACGCGCTCAGAAAAGTTCTGGCAGTGATCCTCTATGCAAGAAACGGGAACTTTAGCAACGGTACATGTCGGCTGGCAAAGTTCCGCCTGAAACACTAGCGCTCATTTCTCGCCTGACGGAGATTCGTGGGTACACATTTCCTCCGCTTCCCTCCAGGCGCCAGTAAGTTCGCACTCGCGCAGTACCTTACTTTGCGCAATAGACGTCTCACGTTTGTGATTGCACCCCTATGAAAGGCTGGTAGTTTCTGTCACGTTGTGATGAAATACCACAAACGTGAATGAACGCGAAGGATTGAGTTGATAGCAGCAGTGAAATTTCAGCGACTCGCATCAGAATTCCAGAAAGAGACAACCAACAAGCATGGACGGTGCACAGTAGAGTGTGTTGCATGCGCTGGCAGTTCTCGTCGGAGTTCACGAGTTTTGAGAAATGGATTATGTAGCACTATGCTCTGAACAACTCCGGAGTTGATGATTGATTGATTGATTTGTGGGGTTTAACGTCCCAAAACCACCATATGATTATGAGAGACGCCGTAGTGGAGGGCTCCGGAAATTTTGACCACCTGGGGTTCTTTAACGTGCACCCAAATCTTAGCACACGGGCCTCGACATTTCCACCTCCATCGGAAATGCAGCAGCCGCAGCCGGGATTTGAACCCGCGACCTGCGGGTCAGCAGCCGAGTACCTTAGCCACTAGACCACCGCGGCGGGGCTCCGGAGTTCATTCCTTAATTCATCACCGGTGAATCGATCACTGAATATTTTGTGTGGTTGGAGGCTGCTCCTGTTCACGCTGGTGTAAGTGCTAGAAACATGAATGCGCGTATGCTTCGTGGTGAAATATATTCTGTACAGTTCTTGATCTGTTGACGTGAAGGGAAATGTCGGCTGCACGCTTGCAAACAATGGAAGACACTTTGCCGCAACGCTATCGTTTCCGGAAACTGAGTGACGAAAGTTACGAAAAAAACGAGAACATTCCGCGTTTTATGGCACGTATTTAAGTGTTTTATCACATACACACAGCGAACTAGCTAGATTTATGTGAGTAGGCATAGTTCGGTCACAAGTCCACTTTCGATTGAGAACAAGTGAACTATTCTCATCAATGACTACATTGCCCTTGCAGATTGCATGATAGAGCCTATTGGAGTACTTGATTGATACAAAAAGTCACAGTGACACTGAAAGTCTGCCCGAAAATTACGTATTCAAAATCGTGTTGCAAACGTGCAGCATATCTTGCAAAAAAACCACTTATTGCGCATCGCAAGCAGGCTTAGATTTGCGAAGTAAAATAAAAAAAATGTTGATTAAAAGCTACCACTGCGTCAGGGCTGCTTGACATATAGAGATTAACATGAAATAATACCCATAGGCATGCAGTCACAGACATCAACAGTAAGAAATTCGCTCAGCAAATTAACCAATACCAAAATGTAATTTTGAATGGACAAAAACATGCTGTGTGTATACCTCTCATTCCTCCCTGTAAGCGGAACCGTCTTTGGCCTGTAAAACGCACTTCACCCCAACGACAACTACGCCATTTACGCTTAACAGAGATTAACAATGAACGATGTTTTCTCTGACAGGGTGGGTCATCGTAATAATGCATTTTTCGAAGACTAGTCCAATCAATGGTGCACCGAGAGGCAATTGCTCCAAGCGGTCACTGTACCTGCCGCTTACTGTATGTTGCAGTACTTCTTACAGTACTGCCCCGCCCCCGTGGTCCAGTGGCTAAGGTAATCGGCTGCGAATCCGCAGGTCGCGCGATCGAATCCCGGCTGCAGCGGCTGCATTTTTGGTGGAGGGGAAAATGCTGTAGGCCCGTGTGCTCAGACTTTGGTGCACGTTAAATAACCCTAGGTGGTCAAAATTTATGGAGCCCTCACCTACGTTGTCTCTCATTATATGGTGGTTTTGGGAAGTTGTACCCACATATCAATGGAGCAGTGTTTTGGGGGTATGTCCAATACTACTGCTACTACTATTACTATTTTCACCAGACTCATTAGTTATCCAGATTTAGCTTTTCATTTTCATGACACCATTAAATAAGTGTAGTACTGCTGTTGCCATTTTACCGACCATAAGGGGATGCTTGTTGCGGGGTCCGCAAGAGGTCCCCATACAAATAAGTCGAACAATTGCCAGATAACTAACGCAAGACGGGTGACAGAATGTCACCATTTATGTATAAAAGTGTCACGCCTACGCGCAGCTTATAATACATAACTATGTGGCTATATCACTCAGTTCAGAACCCAGCTTGCGGTGTTAGGCACCATCGGCTCCGCCGATCCCCGTAGGGTCGCCCTACAGAAGTCGGTTCATTTCCAAGTTGTTTTTCTCCTCTTTTTTTTTGTAACATTGATGTCCATTGTTTTTTAAAATCTGTAAATACAAGTTTTTCTCAGCCATCTAAAACTTCTTCAGCGTTGCTTCTGCTTCATCGTCAAGCGAGCAGCAGGCCAATAGCCGCTATTGGGATAGCGGCGTACGTTTCTTCTCCCACTTTGCTACACCACCGCGGGTGGTGCGCCTCGGGCGCCGAGTGGGGAGAAGTGGTTTCGTCTACATCGAGAAGAAGAGAACCTGATTTTACTGTCTCTTTACCAGAAGTGAAATGGCTGCTAGATCTTGAGCATCTTATTTTGTAGTAACCATGGCTACTGCACTATCTAACTGGTATAAAAGAAGTGCAGTATTGCATTGCAACTGCAATGGTTTGCAGTTGCACTGGAACTTCGTCGCTCGGAAATTCTTCGCTCAACAGGGGTTTCAGATTTTGTGTATTTCTGAACCAAGGGTATCTCCTAACTTTCGCCTGTCTAGTTATCTAGTGTACGAAGCAGAGCATCCTGCTGCAAAATAACAGAGTGATGTTGTGTGTGAGACGCGATATTCCATGGACACTGGTCGCTACTTTAAAAGCAGATGAGCCAGAATTTGTTAGATGTAAGGTGAAGTTTAGTAACGCTACTGTAACTTTGCTTAGTGTATACGTGCACCCTCAAGCAAAAGTTTCATACGCAGAGTTGGCTGCAGTGTGTAGATCTGATCACGATCCCATAAAAATGTGATTTTATTGCGCAACATGAATTGTGGAGTAGTGAGTGTTGTGTTGTAAGTGGA